TCTGTAAAAAACTGTAAGCCCTATGGGAGGGTCCTAGACCTGCTGTTGATCCTTTGCCTAATCACACGAGCCCAGGTGTGTGTCCACAAACACAAACCTGTTCTCATTATATTTGTAATTACACTTCCTTCTATTTAAAAATGACTGACTGCACCTTCAAACATCAAAATAAAAGCTAAACACTTCCTGTCACCTCACCATTTTCGGGTTCGTTGCGGATCTCCTCCTCTAGGTCGTCTGGGGAGGCGTAGTCTGGCTCCGCCCCCTCTCCTGTGGGTGGCGGCTTCAGTTTGCCGCAGCAGCAGTTGCAGCAGCAGCAGAGACAGCAACAGCAGTAAAAGCCGGTGATGATCCCACAGAGCACGAACAGACCCTGAACACAAACACGCCGTCAGCTCACGCCTCCTCACACCACCTCTATTCACACAGCTAGAGTGGAAGCTCCGCCCCACCTTGGCCCACCAGGTGGACAGCATGAAGTATGTGTTGACGTTGTCCTCTCCAAACTGCTGGGCCACGTAGAGTCCCAGCGAGCCATATGAATCGTAGATGTTTCTCTTGGTGAGGTCACTCAGGACGGCGTGGGCGCTGTTCAGCTCCTTGAACTTCTCCGCCGCCTCCGGGTTGTCCGGGTTCTTATCGGGGTGGTACCGCAGCGCCAGCTTCCTGACATCACACGCAGGTGTTAGTATTCACGTGCTGAGGTCAGAGAGTCTAGCTCTGCCCTCTGATTTCATCAGCAGTGCCATTAGTGCGCAAGCTGAACGTCACGCTCGCATCTTAAATCGTGTGATCAAACGTGCAGGTGAGTGGGCGGAGCTGGTGTAGGCTCACCTGTACGACTTCTTGATGTCGTCATGGCTGCAGCCTTTCTCCAGCCCCACGATGTGATACAGAGACTCTCCAGAGGTGGACAGAGCGCGCTGCCTGCCGTCAGACATCCTAAAACCATCACCTGTCGCAGGTGAGCAAACCACAGTGTCACACACGCGGTCACAGGGAAAGATAAACGCCAGGAAACATGCTCCTTAGGGCAAAGGTCAGTGAAAACCTTTCAAATATTTTAGTGACAGCAGTGAAAGTTTATTAGTTCATGGATCAGAAGAGAAAACGTGAGGAAAAAGTGAGAATCGTTTTAACGTTTCCTGCGGGGTTAAAGGTCACTGTTTCCTGCTCGTTGTTCCTGTGGTTTTTTATTAAGCAGAAAAAAGTGTCTGACTTTTAACTGAAGAAGAAGAAAGTGAACAAATAAATAACATAACCGTGTCGTTACTGCTGCACTAAAAAACTCCAGAAACACACAAAACAATGTCGGCTATGTGCCGAACACTGAGTCGAATGAGATGAAATGACGAAATGAAACCAAACGTAGATGCAGCTCTATAAAAATCAGAAACAGAAAAATGTAATTTAAAAATAAAATGTTCGCCCAAAGAGAAACAGTAAAAATTCTACAGAAAGAAGAAAAGTGGTCACTTTATTAGTTCAGTGCACAAACCCAACCTCACCACTTCGGCTGCTACAATAGAAACATGTCTCCTTCA